AGGAAGATATTTTTTACTATGAGGGTGGTGAGACACAAACAAGCTGCCCAGAGAAGCTGTGGATGCCCTATCATTGGGGTGTTCCACGTCAGGTTGGATGGAGCTTTGAGCAACCTGACCCAGTGAAAGATGTCCCTGCCCATGGCAAGGGGTTGGACTAAATGATCTTTAAAGGGCCCTTCCAATCCAAAGCACTTTATGATTCTACGATTCTATGTAGCATTTTCAGTGTTCCCAGATGGTGGTAACAAAATATGAAATCAAGAGAGGTCAAAAGACAGTGGTATCCCATTGAAGAGAGTCTCCGGCATATCTAGGATAGCTGAGAATTACACTGGATTCACCTTGAAAAGCTACTGTCTGTTCCAAACATGTTTCCAGAGCAGTCTCAGAGCACAGATGGACAGATCTAGATGGAGTGGTTTCCAAAGTTTCTGCAAGTGAGCAACATTAGGATAACATGGCTACTCTTAGCTCCTTTTACTTTCCACCGTAGTAGGTGAAATCTCATAACTAACCACAAGAACATTGCTGAGAATTTCGGAACAAAACTAGCTAAAACCACTTTTGGTAGTGTAAGCTTGCACTATCAGACATTTAAAGGAACTGGAATTCAATGGGATTTTAGTGCCTTAGGTTACTTTACAAATCCCATCTGTATTTTCCTGTTACTAGCAGGGAAGCAGCATCAGCATTACAATCTATCGCTTGTAGCTCTTTTCCCCATTTCCCTGCAATATACCTTAAAACAGCTGAACAAATTCTGGGATTTCTGTCAGGATGTACATTGGGCTGAATGACGTTTTTCTAACTGCTTAAGTAAGCTCGCTTGATTTTGCCCGAGACGACGCTGCCCAAATCAGTACCAGGAAGACAGAATGTAGTTGCCAGATACTCTTCTAGAATAATTTCATTGAGCTCTGCAGAGAGCTGCCATGAGGTAATATAAGCTGATACCTCTGATTTTGTAGCCTTTCAGTACTTAAAGTGGGCTTATAAGAAAGATGGGGATAGGCTTTTTAGTAGGGCCTGTTGCAGTAGGACAAGGTGTAATGGTTTTAAACTAAAAGAGGGCAGATTTAGATTAGATATAAGGGAGAAATTTTTTACGCTGAGGGTCGTGAAACACTGGCACAGACTGCCCAGAGAGGTGGCAGAATCTCCATTCCTGGAAGCATCCGAGGTCAGGCTGGACGGGGCTCTGAGCAACCTGATCTGGCTAAAGATGTCCCTGCTCACTGCAGGGGGGATGGACTAGACGGCCTTTGGAGATCCCTTCCAACCCAAACCATTCTGATTCTATGATTTCCATTCTTGGTTCATGAGATCATTGCACCCATCACTTCAATCTTCTTATCTTGCCTGTATCATCGTACAGTTTCACAGAATCTTTCATTCAAGAGCATGTCAGAAACTCATACGCAAAGATCACATAATTTCTGAAATGCAGCTTCTTCTCAAATACAACAGTTGTTTTAATTCAGTGTTTCTGTATCCTCTCACAGAATGTAATTTCTTATCTCAGTTTGTGTGCATTTTTAAGATTGTGTACTAACGGTGCTCTCAGAAACTGTCATTGGGAACCACGGAGTACCACCTGTGACTGTGGGGCTTGTGATCTGGACACATATCCTGAGGGAAATCAGCTGGCAATCCCTGTCCTGTCCAACAGAGTTGTCTCCTTGTGTTACCCTGGGTTGCAGCACACAGTTTAACTCAGTGGTTCTCCTTTATCATAGCTTCATAAAGTTAGGTTTCTGTTTGCCCATAAAAGGGTTATACTTTACAAAACCACACTGAAAAGTACTTCGCAGACACCTAAAATCAAGGTGCCCAGAGGAAGGCTAATAGTATCCTGGGCTGCATTAGGCAAAGCATTGCCAGCAGGTCGAGGGAGAGAGCACTGGCACAGGTTGCCCAAGGAGGCTGTGGAGTCTCCATCCTGGAAATGGTCCTGGCCAGCTGGCTGTAGGTGGCCCTGCCTCAGCAGGGGGTTGGACCAGACGACCTCCAGAGTCCCTTCCAACCTCAACCAGTCTATGATTCTGTGATCAGTGGAGATTAAACTACTTTAGAAGAACTGCAGTGCATGAAGTTGGCTGCGACTATTTCCCTAGTATGAGATGGACTCTTGTCATGATCAGTGGTTACATGTCATTAATCTTGGTGACTCTTTTATCTTAATAACGCAGTTTATTCTTCTGCTCTCAAATATTGAGTTGGAAGGTTCTTCCAGTAGTGGCAGTTTACTGACATCAAAAGCAACTTACCTAGTCTCTTGGAAAGTGCTAAAACACGTCCAGGTGATTTTCAGAGGGTGCACAGCAACTTGTACTTAATATGCAGTTTATGCTCTGTGCACAAGACCTTGTCCTGCATTAAAATCACTCTTCATATCGCCCTTTTATAAAATTTCCCAAAACCTCTTGTGCCTGAGAAGTCATCTGCCACCTATCCCTGTATCCTTGGTGTTTTCCTCCAGGAACCTGGCCGTGAGATTAGTGAAGACCAAACTGCCCAGGGCACCTTCACAATTCAAGTCTTCAGGTGCTAGGATTGCGAGGAGACCACAAAAGCATAGACATATAAATGGATGAAAGGGTGTGAATTCATTGGAGTAAAACACATGCTGGGTATCAGGAAAGATGCACTGTCCATGAGCTCTATGACAATACAGAGCAGTCTCAGAAGTGAACACCTGAGTGCTGCTGGAGTGGCTGGAGAATGCAGATGGAGAGGGTGGCACAAGCATGCCTGTGCCCTTCCCATGTGCAAAAGAGACCCATAACAGTTTGGGACTTTTCTTTAAACAGAAAGTAGTGCCACTGGACTGCAGGCCTACTATAAGTGAAGCCCACGCAACAGTTCAGCAATATTGCAAGTTTTGCTACTGTATGAGCCTTTAATAACGCCATTCATAATGATTACCAGACTAATATACGGAGGCATTCTTCCCAAATTATAATGTGTTCTCACATTAACATAATGCAGTCATTTATCAGAGAGAGGGAGGGAGGGAGGGACAATTTCACGTCTACAAATTGGAGAAGGGCTGTGAGAGTAAGGAGAGAGACTGGCTAAACTATTAATAAGCCTCCTGAGCTGTTCCTGTATCTGCTTTGCCCTTGCTTTCACTTGTGCTGAGGCCTCTTTGCTGTTGTAGCTAGGCAGGTTTTTGGAAGTGCTGTGATGCCGCCCCCACTGAAAAACTGCAGACACTAATAATAAACAAGAGAAGACAATGGTGAGGAACAGTGCTCTGCTTGGCCCTTTGCCCAGCCATGGCAAATGCACCGGGCAGCTTGCGAGAGCTCCTTGACTCTGCACATGTGGGAAAAGCTGGTGGCATAAAAGAAAGGCTGGCAGCCACACCTGCACGGGAGACGCAGAGCCCTGTCTGCAGCTTGGAAGTGAGTGCAGACATGCAGGGAGTTTCCTTTCTGAAAGGAAATATGAGTCCGGTCAGTGGCCTTGGGAGCCTCTTTCTTCATTGCCCTCCCACTTACATTAACCCATCTTTGCCCAGCCCCCTGTCACTCTAGCATTGGCTTTGAAGCTTTGTATTTGTTCACATCTGGGATCCCCAAGTTGGAGATCAAAGAAAAATAAGAGATGAGGCAGAGCTTCAAAAGCGAATTAATAATGTTTCAGAGGAAATGAGAACTAGGGAAATCATATACACTGAGTAAGCCAGCCCCACATTACAGACGGACCTGGTTGGCCAAGTTGCCTACTCGAACACACGGAGATGTCGGATTTTGTTTTTCAAGGCAACAGACTTGCCCTGTTGGCCAAACGCTAGAACCTGCCCCTGGAAATGTAAAAGGCTTGGGGCCGCTGCGGTGTGTAAGCTGCGTAAAAGCTCCCAGAATGATACTGTGGCCAAAAATGCTAATCTGATCCTTGAATGTAAAAACACAGCGAAGTCAGGTAGGAATTGATGGGTGTTACCACTGGTATACTTGGCACTTCTTCTGCCACTGCTGGAATATTGAGTCTTGTGTTGCAGTACCAAGAATAGTACTAAAACTAGCTGGTAGTGAAAACTGGTGCTAAAATGGTTAGTAAATTGGATAATGCTAATGGATAAAGTTCAGAGATTTTAGAATGATTAAATGATAGGAGGCATAACATAGTAAGACATCAAGATCTTCACCTTTTTCACATAAAAGATGAAATGAAGGGACAACCTGAATACAGCCTATGAGTACCTAGACAGTAACAAAATTTGGAAGACTGCTTCCAATTCAGCAGCCAAAGGTTTAACAAGATCCAGTATCTGGAATTTGCAGCTAGGCAGACTCGGATCAGCAATAAAAGATACCTTTCTAAGGTAAAGGGCCGGGACCACCTGGAGAACCTACCTCTAGTCATGCTTTGTGGATGTTTTGAAATCACTGGCAATTTTAATTTTAAAAAAACTTTTTTTTTTTTTTCTTAAAAGAAAATGCTGGGAAGCCACTGGCCTGTATTAGTACACCAGATACAGTAGTCTTATCACATGGCTTTCTCTGGGTTTCTGGACCTGAATTCAGATTCCCTTGAAACAACTCAAGGATTCTGGGATCTGAGTATCTTGTGCTTTAATTGATGCCATTGGTATTACAATTATACTTTTCTCATCCTTTTGATGTTTTCCCAGGAAACCCATTGTTACAATATCTAACTTCTATTTTTAATGAGCACTGAGATGTTAGTATGATTTTATTATATCCATTTTGAGGGCCTGACTAAGGATGAACAAAGCAGACCAGACCACTGATCCTTTGGGGAAGTTTGAACAAGTTCAGTTAACTTCCCACTGCTCCTTTCAGATCCTTCTGCCTGCCTAAATGGTTGCTGTTGAACCCGGCAGCAAAAAAATAAAGCTTGAAAAATATTGCTTTCCAAGACTAGCAGTCCTGCAGGGATTCCCTGACCCCTGACTGGTTATCTCCTGGCAATGTCTGGATTTGCTATGTCTGGACAACAGTGAGATAGTCTGTTATTTCTCTCTGCAGTGCCTACACCGAGCCCTACAAGGTGTGCCCAGTCTCTGTGATACCGATGGAGGTCGTCACATCAGATGAGGAACAGAAGAGTTCAGAAGACGAGGACAGCAGCCCAGGTGATCCCAGCCTCATCAAGGTAAAAAAAGCTGAAAATGGGGAATGAGTGAAACGCAGAAAGGGAGAAACAATTTGCAGAAGAACATGGATTCTCAACGTGCTCTGCTCTTTGCCTAGTGCTCATTTAGAAATGTCAGAGCCATCAATCCTTTACTCCCCCAGTGCACTAGCAGCAATTTACCCCTATAGCATGTGGCAAAGCCAAAGAACTGCAGTCCTAAGATGGACAGTGCAGGCAACATAGCCAGCAGGAAAGGCCTGACTTGAACATTAGCAAAAATGTGTCACTCGAAGGATTTAGCTGCAATCTTGAGAATTTAAAACTACATTGAGTAAAACAATGACAAATACATTATTTGGACCAGTTTTGCATTAGCTGGGAGACTGGGTAAATTATGTAATAGGTCTCTGCCATCTCAAAATTCTCACATCATGGGAAAATGCACTCATGTTTGGGTTTATTTTACTGACTTCTGATCAATAAAACAGCTCTTAAGTGAATTATAGAGAAGACCATGGAAATGTGACCCCAGTTTAAGACCGTACAAGGCTGTTTTAACCTCCAGTAAGCTGACTAACAGTGCAGTTGTTAAAGAAACGGCATGAAGCAGTTTTAGGCACAAGTTTATATTTGTTTTTCACAGATGTTTTTTCATGTGTGTGTGTTCTTAAAACCTACTATGAGCCTAACAATCTAATGTTGTGTCTCTGAGAACAAGCACCCACTGCATAGCCCATCTGGTATGCATGCAACAAATGGGTATGTTCTTCTGAAGTCTTCCAGGAACTAAGGCTGCATAGGAAAATAGCAAATCCCAATTTCATATACCTCTCTCTGCCATTCATTTTGGCCTGGTCTCTCAGTGTCAGCACAGCTATGTGGCTTCCTGATTGTGAATGGCTTGTGTCTGGTCCTGGGCATGTGTGCAGATGCATCTCCAAAACCAAATGATGGCTGAGTAAGGATCAACTCTGTCAAGGAGAAGCATAAGTATATTGATTCTAGGAAGATCAGATCTCTTCAGGCATTTCCAGAATGTGAAACTTTGTTGAGGGGCAGGTGTACAGAGAGGGGAGCAGAATTCTCCCTTTACCAGGACGCAGTTCTTGAGAAACAGAAAAAGAAACTGCAAGCAGAATGACAGTGAGGGGCAAATGAAATTGCTGTTGCTTTAATCTCTGCAGGAGAATAGCTTCCTTTGATTTCCCTGTATGCTGTATCCCTTTTAGGTCTACCCTGCAGGGTGCTGAGCTGCCTCTGGTACCAGCAGAAAAGACTGTGGCTTGATCTCCTTGCTGACATGAAATAAATTAAACCATTGCCAGCAACCTTGTATTTTTTTCTCTGAGATTCATGAAAATTTTTTGATTGTTTTCACACTGGTTTGGAAAGGGAAAAGCCTTTATAATTTTGACATTCCCTGTTAAATTAAAAATATTTTTCCTTTCAGTTCTACTAGTTAGCTGACAAACGACTAGCATTTATAGAACATATGGTATTGTGTCATCTAAGCTGATCAGGTTTCTGAGCATCTCTTAGTTGTGATGCTAGTGGAGAAGTGACAACAAAATTGTGACTTGAGTTCACAAGGAAAATGCATGCAATCATGATAGACCTGGAAGCAAATTCCAGGCTGCTAAAACAAATTTTATTGCCATTTCTGTAGGGTTTTACTCAAGACACTAGGGAATTTCTAAATTTCTCCCTTACTGCATCTCATGCATTTTAATTGTTTTGTTGTGCTGGGGTAACCACACTCTGTAGCTGTCACAGACTAAGTCAGCACTTAGAGAACAAGCACGTGCTTCAGAGACTTAGCTGGAGGTATCCCTCACGCTCTTCAGATGAATACAAAGTAAATATCTGCACGTGCTTGATCAAGAAGATCAGAACAGTTCTGGTCGGTTGGTTGGCCTTTGCTTCCCAAGCTAATTGTCATCAAGAATCACAGTACCCACAGCACCAGACTTCCACAAGTTCCTGGGGAGCTGTCTTCAAACACCTCCATCAGACTGCACGCCATATTTCCAAGCTGGTTGATGAACTAGTGCACGTGGCTATTTATCCTGTCAAGAAGCAGGCCAGGAAAGTAGACATAATCTGATCTGCCTGTTATTATCTGGCTATAGGAAGATTAGCCACTCTGCAATCTACTGGGCTCTAGCTACAGCTCTAAAAAGAGGTTGGAGCAGCAGTAATTTCATCCCTGGATAAACCATTTGCTTAGTAGGTCAAGTCAGGGGCCTGTGCTTTTATGTGGGACCAAGAAAAATCTAGAGATGAGAAGCAGCACTGAGACACTTCTGAGTGTCTTTGTTCTGGTAGCCTCACTAGGGCAGGCATCACTTTGGACAAACTAAAGGAGTCCTGGGAACCATCCTGTCAAACCCTGTGTGTCCCAGCTGTCCCCAGGACCCAATCTGTTAAATGAGAAGCCTGATCTGGGCAGTCAGTCAGAGGCCACCTAGCATCAGAACTCTCTTGCTACTCTGTAGTAGCCTCATCATGACTGCTGCAGGCTATGTGAAGCAATAAACAAAAGGTGGCCAGGGAAGACCCAATTTTCTAGTGAAAACAGTCAGTGCAGGGTTCTGACAAGAAGGATGCAATATATTTAACCGTTGTCTTTCGCCTATGCCAACCACAGAATAATAATGATACAGGAATCTTCCAAGGTCTCATGCAGCCAATGCTGCAGATTCGCTGTCAGAGACAAGAGCTTCCAGTTCACTGTAATTAAAAGTGGACAGGATAAATTCCGTCTGTCTGCAGCTCTTGTCTGAGAAAGCACTGGTGTCTTCAGAGGACTGACAGAGGACTGCTTTTCCTACCCTACTGCTCCCACCTCCTTTTATTGTCTTTTCACACAAATCTTCCGGGTGCCAAGGAAACATTACCTGCCTGTCAAAACTTGTCTCTATAATGACGAAGTGCAAAGAACTTGTCTAGCTCCTTGATGAAGTGATGTATCCCTTGGAGCAAAATCCCCAGGACAACACTGAGTGGCTGTACAACATGAAAGAGTTCAGAAGCACTGTCACTTGGGGAGGATTGGCAAAGACATGTTGGTCTGGATGCCAAAAATAGTACCATAGATTTCAAAATGAGCTAATCTTGTTAAAACAACTGTTTAGGGCTGGCCTACTAAGAGCTGAATTTAGATTCTGAAAAAAGCATACGCATACACAAATCTGGGATTTATTGGTTTGATTTCTGTTTTTCTCCTACTCAGGGAGACTTAGTTTCAATAAAGGCATGAAACAGCCTAGATGATAAAATCGCCTTCCTCTGTTCAGATACATGATTTTCATTTGCATTGAGCTGGATTCTACCTGCTGCCTTTCACTGTCATGAATGAATTGCTGTACCAAAATGCAAGCAGCATGGTTTGGTTTTTCTCACCTGCTTTCCCCTAGCCTGCTTGCTGGAGAATCACAAGACCTCCAGTCTGGAGCACACTTTTTTCCTCTGATGTTTCTTTTTAAGGCTCATTTTTACAAGTAAATACAATTTTAAAAATTAGCTTTGTACACACATTTCCTGTTATTGTTTCAACAGCATGTCTCCTTTGAATCTCTGCTCTCCTGGGGATCAGATTCACATGAGTGTGGAGAAATTTTTAGGGCCCGCTGGAACCCCTGATCTGTAAATGATTTGAATCATAGCCAATAATATACGTTGAGGTGTTTTTTACATTATCACCTTTAAAATAAAGAGCAAACAAAGAGGGGCTTTCATCTCTATTGTGTTACAGGAATTTTTGTAACTGAAAACCTATTTGGAATGGGGCAGGTACAAAAATGTAAAACAGGAGGCAGGTTTTGAATTTTTGCCTTTATTCCACTGGGAGTACCTCAGACCCTGAGAAGCTTAGCATTTGTCACCAGAAGTCACCTGGTGGCTTTGATTTCTTCTGTCTAAGACTAACAGTGAAAATTCATTTCTTCCGGTTAAATTCTTTCTCTTCAGTCCGCTGGCAGGTGATAACAACTTAGAGAACTCAGAGACAGGCAATACTGTAAGTTTTCTTAACCTTTGTGATTCTACTTGGTTATATTATAAAAAGCAATGCCCTTCAGTTACACTACTGATGGAGATTCACTCTTTTTTCTCCTCCTGCTAAACTAATTTAGAAGAGCTCCTGGGCCATCTCTCATTCATATGTCTTTTATGTATGTTCATTTAATTAAATCCCTCCCAATTTATCAGAAGGTGACACATGGCTTTTCTGTAGTGGGCTCTCAAGGTTATATGATGGCACCTGAGCTGCGTACAGAAAAAAATTGGAATTAGGGGTTCCAGTTAGGAATAAAAAACTCGTATCAAATAAAATAAGGACTTTCTTTTTATCTCCTACCTCTGAACCATCACTCACTAGACAAATGCTCAAAGACCAGGATGTAGAACCCCAGATTTTTCCTCTCATCATTAAGCTGGATTCAAACCTGAACTTTGTGATTGTTTTTTTTACTGCTAAAACCAGATAAATCCATCTTGGACCCACCCAGCTAACAAGTATTAAAGCAGTTAAAGGGGAAATGAGTTTAATAGTTCAGATTTGATTAGACAACAACTTCAAACTGAGTTCTCTTTGGCAGAACTTATCCAGTTTCAAAAAGAAGATCAGAAATAGAGACAATATATTCTTGAAAGTCTACTTTTGAGAAGCCTAGCTCCATGATTTGAAATGGATTAAAATCAACACATGCTGGTAGGTTTCACCTATTGCTAGTTATGATCTGAGTTTTTGAATTGCCTTGGTAGTTTGAGGAAGATGCTGCATATGCTGGATCATCAGCTAACCCTCCCTAGCTTGCGTCTCTCACTTTAGTGTCAGAATCTTCAAGCAAGACTCTTCAGACAGTTCCTTTCTTGTAAGTACTTTTCAAGACTGGATCTTCTGGCCAGTTGCTCCTTCTTGTCACTAACTTCCTACAGCCTCCAACTGTTACAAAACTGAAGGGAGCCCCAAGACAATTCTTTTACCACACCTAACCCTCTGTCTGGCTGAAGATGAG